TCCAACCAAATTGAGATTCTTTTGATTTGGCTCAAAGAGAATTCGGTTGTGAAATTGAAGCTCGTTTAGTTTATGGAAGAAGTTTGCTATCAAAAGAAAATCTTTTTCCAGCTAAATAAATGGGTTCCGATCGGTTTAGCCCTTCAATTCTAATGGAACAAAATTTCAGTTAGTTTCTAATTGTATGGATGTCCACTTGAGACGCTCACTATGTAATTCAACTAGTAAAATTTATACAATATTATGAATAAATGTATTGCTAAAATCAGTATATAGAGTGTCCAAATATACTTTTCACACAGCACATGCATACAAAAATTAACCGTGCAATAAGAGTTTGACATAACAAACATACTTTTCATAGTAGCAGATATTCATAACCTCTTAAATGTAAGCTTCTTATTAGATTATTCAAATAGTTAAAATTGACAACCTTATTTGTCAGTGCATATGCATGACGGCTCTGGCAATTAATTTTGATTTGTCAAATAATTAATCACTTAAATTAAGACAAGTGCAGACAATTAGAAACCAGTAAACATGTCCACTAAGACATGACCTAATATACTACAAGAATTTCAAAATGACACGATAATTATTTTGAGATATGACCATATCTATATGGATTAATTGAGTCTAGCTAGGTGACAACAACAAGAAGAATAGCTGAGCCTGAGATTGAGAACAAAGACACTATTAATTTTGGGATGGGTCGGGAAATATGTACAATGAATCAATGATGAAAACTTACTGCTTATCTAACAGTTCAATAGCACCCTAAATTAGGGACCTATCCAATACCAAAAACTGAAAGCCATGCAATATTTTACCCCAAAAAAAAAAGCCATGCAATATTCCCAGGACCCAAGTCCACTTGAATTATTAAGTTGTTTGACTGCTTTAGAACAGACATGGAAATCTTCAGAAGATCAGAGCGTTCGCATTGAGAAGAAGAAGACGACTAAATTACTAGCCCACAGATGCTTGGACAATCTCATAGTTGTTACCAACTGGAAGTCACTTTCCAAGAATATAGCAATCTAAGAAATTAAAGGGAAATCTTGAAAACTGGCATTTTTCTTAACAAATAAAAATAAAATAATTAAAAGACTTTTAGTCATTCTTCTTCCTGTACAGCAGATGCCAGCCATTTCCAGTCATGTTGGATTTTCTGTAGGCCCCAGGGGAACATACCCCAATCTCATAGAATCATGCTTGATTCCCATATCATAGAAAGACAAAATAGTACTTGGACAGTGACATATTCTGCTTTACAAATAAATATACCATACTAAGTTTTCATCTTATGTTTGCCAACCATACAATTTAAGAGAGTGTTTGTAAAACAGAGAATTATTCAAACTGGTTTTTGTTAACTTCTTTTGATATATGTTACAGCAGCCTATAACATGCTATTTATAATAACAGTCAGACCTTTTGATAAACAGACATAACTCTTAGATTAGTTCCAAGAGTTGCAGACACAACTTTTGACTTCTAAAGAGATACAACTCTTCCTAAACATAACTTTTCATCAAGAGACACAACTCTCTACTTTAACAACTGATACAAATGCATTACGTTTAACACTCCCTCTTAATGCATTTGTCCTGCGACATTTAGCCTTTCTCTGAAATAGCAGAACTTCTCTCTTAGAAGTGCTTTTGTAAAAACATCTGCAATCTGCTCATCAGTACCACAAAATTTCAGTTCAATCTCTCCGTCTTGAACCAATTTTATGATAAAATGATGACGAAGTTCTATGTGCTTTGACATGCTATGAAAGACTGGGTTCTTTGTCATGGCAATTGTGGACATCTTATCACATTACAATTTTGTTGGAGCGTTTTGTTCTTGACGAAGATCTGCTAATATTCTTCTAATCCATCAGTTCAATCTCTCCGTCTTGAACCAATTTTATGATAAAATGATGACGAAGTTCTATGTGCTTTGACATGCTATGAAAGACTGGGTTCTTTGTCATGGCAATTGTGGACATCTTATCACATTACAATTTTGTTGGAGCGTTTTGTTCTTGACGAAGATCTGCTAATATTCTTCTAATCCAAACTGCTTCACATGCTGCACTTGTGGCTGAAATATACTCTGCTTCGGTTGTTGATAATGCCACTGTACTTTGCTTCTTCGACGACCATGATATAGCTTTACTTTCCAAGAAAAACACATGTCTAGAGGTGCTCTTTCTATCATCAATTGAATCTGCCTAGTCACTGTCTGTGTAGCCAACTAATTGTGCTTCCTTCTCTTGTGTATATCTAATACCATATCCCTTGGTTTCTTGTATGTATATGAGTATTCTTTTTACTGCAGCAAAATGGTGATTACTTGGATCACTCATGAATCTAGATACCACACTTACAGCATGAACAATATCTGGCCTTGTATTTGTAAGATAAATTAATGAACCAACCACACTTCTATATATGCATGCATCAAACTTAGGTGCTCCATCGTTACTTGTAAGCTTGAAATTAATTGCCATTGGAGTATCCATTGGTTTGCTCTTCAACATATTGAATTTTTTCAACAGATTTTCAGCATACTTCTCTTGAGAAATAAATATTCCCTCATCTGATTGTTGAACCCGTATACCAAGAAAATATCTCATAGTGCCTAAATCTGTCATCTCATATTCCTTCATCATGTTCTTCTTGAAAACTTCTGCCATCCTTGAATTTGTGCTTGTATAAATCAAATCATCAACATAGAGGCACAAAATCAGAAAATCATGTGTACCTTCTTTCTTGAGATAAAGTGATGGCTCACTTAAGCTTCTTGTAAATCCATTTTGCTGAAAATAGTGATCAATTTTGTTGTTCCAGGCTCTTGGTGCTTGCTTTAAGCCATATAAGGCTTTACAGAGGTGATAAACTTTATCTTCCCTCCATTTCTCAACATAAATAAACCTTTGTCTTCAGTTGTGCAGCCAAAGCCAAAACAGTTCTTATAGTCTCCGTTCGAACTACCGGAGCAAACGTCTCATTAAAATCAATTCATGGTTGTTGAGAATATCCTTTTGCAACCAAACGAGCCTTATGGTTTTGGATTGAGCCATCTTCATTAAACTTTGTCTTGTAGACCCATTTAAGTCCAATGATATCTTTTGATTTAGGTTGATCAACAAGTTCCCATGTTCTATTTTTCTTGATAATTCTTATTTCCTCATCCATTGCATCTTGCCAAATATTTTCTTTCACTGCTTCCTCAAATTTTTAAGGCTCCAAAGCACTCAAGGCAAGATCACATGACTCATATATATCTGCCAATGAACGCGTTCTTGCGTTTAGTCTAGGACTTGAATATGGTGAACTAGGATCAGATGTTCTTGCACTTGGAATTGGACTTTGAAGGAATTGAGTTTCTTTTGATTGTGATGAATCTGGTTCCTCAAAAAATCTTGGCACTTCAATATCATAATTCTCCTATTTCCAAGCTTTGAGTTCATAAAAAATAACATCTCTAGAAATTACCAAACTATTGGTTCTTGGATCAATTAATCTGTATGCTTTGGACTGATCACTATATCCCACAAAAATATATTTCTCACCTTTCTCATCAAATTTTTCTCTCTTTTAAGAAGGAATATGTGCATATGCAGTGCACCCAAAAATCTTGAAGAAATCCATCTCTGGTTTAAAACGATGCCATGCTTCAAAAGGAGTCTTATCTTTGACTGCCTTGGTTGGAGACCGATTAAGAATAAATACTGCTGTATGAATTGCTTCAGCCCAAAATGTATTTGGCAGACTCTTTGCCTTCAACATGTTTCTTGCCATCTCGACAATGGTACGATTTCTTCGTTCGGCAACTCTCTTTTAATACCATTGCTGTCAACTCTCTTTTAATACCATTGCTTTTGCAATATTCAGAAAATTCATTGATGTAAACTCTCCACCACGATCTGTTCTTAACACCTTCAAATTGTGACCACTTTGATTTTCTCCAAAAGCTTTGAATTGCTTAAAAACAGAAAATGCTTCTAACTTTTGTTCTAAGAAATATACCCACATCATCCTTGAGAAATCAGCTACGAATAGAATGAAGTACCTTTTGTTATTGAAGGATGGTGTACGAGTTGGTCCGCAAATATCTGCATGTACCAATTCAAGAAGGGCTTTTGCTCTCCAAGATGATTGTGAGAATGGTAACCGATGGAATTTTCCAAAGATACATTCTTCACATATTTCCTTTTCATAGTGAATAGAGGGAAGTCCAACCACCATATTTTTTTGGTGTAACAGCTGCAAGCTTCTTTGATTCAAACGCCCATATCTTAAATGCCATAACAGCGATCCATAAACTTTTTTTGCTTCTAAAGCAAAGTTTTCCTTTGATGTCATCAACAGCGGAAAAACTTTGTTTGCTGTCATTTTTATCTTTGCCACCAGAGTGTTATTCTTTTTATCAGATATAACACAATAATCATCTTCAAATTTCACCAAGAATCCTCTTTGCAAAAGTTGTCCCACACTTAGTAAATTTTAAGCCAATAAATTAGGAACATACAGCACATCATAGACAAGTTTTGGAGTACCTCCTTTTGTTTGCACAGAAATGATACCCTTGCCTTCCACGTTATGTAGTTTTCCATCACCAAGCTTGACTTGTGAGTTCACTTTTTCTTCTAACTTGACAAAGCATTGCTTATTTCATGTCATATGATTACTGCATCCGCTGTCCACGTACCAAACATCTTGTGAATCTTAATGAGAACTGAAACATGTATAAAATAATTGCTCTTGAGAGTCATTGTTCTCCATAAAATTTGCTTCATTGTTTTTCTGATATCCGCAGTCTCTTTGTGAATGATTGGGTATCCTGCATCGGGTACATTTGTATCGGCAATTTGCACTTTTATGCCCATATTTGTTGCAAACATAGCATTGAAGAGATGATCTTCCATTTTGATTATTTGAATTGCTGCTTCCTTGTTGATTATTGGAACTGCTGCCTTGTTGTTGATTATTGAAACTGTTGCCTCATTTGTTGGAGTTTCTACGCCCAAAATTTTTGTTTCTAACATTTTGAGATTTCTGGAATTGTCCTCCTTTTTGTTTGTCTTCTTTCTCTTTCGAGTTCACCTTGGACTGGAAAGCTTGCTCCACAGATTGTTCTGTGGATCTATTGATTCTTTTTTCATGTGCTTCCAATGAACCAATTAATTCATGTAAAGAAAGTGTAGGTAAATCTTTTGATTCTTCTATTGTAGCAGCGACATGATCATATTTTGGCGGTAGACTTTGTAAAGTTTTCTCTACGATTTTCTTGTCTGGAATAGTGTCCCCATAACATCTGATTTGGTTCACAATCCCAGAAACCTTTGTGAAGAATACTTGAATGGATTCACTGTCTTTCATAAGTAAGTTATCAAATTCCCGCCATAAGGATTGCAGTTTGATGGAGATCACTTTTTCTGAACCTTTGAACTCAATTTTGAGAATTTCCCAAGCCTGCTTTGATGTTGTTGCTGGAAGTAATCTTGGAAAAAGATTTTTGCTTACTCCTTGTTGAATTAGAAACAACGCATTGGCATCTTTTTTCTTATTTTCCTTGTAAGTCTGCTGCTTTTCTTGTGTTTCCTTTCCTGCTTTTGAAGTTTCTTGTTCCTCATACCCATCTTCAACAATATCCCAAAGATCCTGAGAGATGAACAGAGTCTTCATTTGAACACTCCAATACTCATAATTCTCACCATCAAAAATAGGCATTAGATTCTGGATATTCCCAATGGTAGAGGAATTTGAACTTGATGCCATTGCTAATCATAGAGGTAGCGATAAGATCAAATACTGCTCTGGTACCAAATTTGTTGGAGGAATGATTGCAAAACTGAAGTATATGATGGAAATATAAAGTGAGGCAGAGAGTGTTTGTAAAACAGAGAATTATTCAAACTGATTTTTGTTAACTTCTTTTGATATATGTTACAGCAGCCTATAACATGCTATTTATAATAACAGTCAGACCTTTTGATAAACAGACATAACTCTTGGATTAGTTCCAAGAGTTGCAAACACAACTCTTGTCTTCTAAAGAGATACAACTCTTTCTAAACATAACTTTTCATCAAGAGACACAACTCTCTACTTTAACAACTGATACAAATACATTACATTTAACATAGCCCTCGTCCTTTAACTTTGCTTGAGACCATACCAAGAGTTCCCAAAGTGAGCACCTTGTTTTAAGCGCATAGGTTTTCAAAAGGTAAGCTGTTATTTTAATCTTAATTGTGAAATAGATGTTCTCAACCATTGCATTTATGAGTTCCTGTTTATTTCATGTCAAAATACCTAACTTAAATAAGAAATTTGTCTAGAGGCGTTTTTTGGCTTTTTGTAAAAAAGTCGCTAGAGTAAAGTGAGGTGACATTAGTTTGCTGCTAGCTAGATTTGAGTCCTTAGGGCTGTGATGAAGGAGTATCATAATCGTGATTATCTTTTATTCCCCATTGACGAATGGATGTACTGTAGCCCACATAAAAGAGAAAAAGAAAAAAAACAGAGGAAGAAACAAATTGTAAATGAATAATTAAAACTTTAGTTACACACAACATAGATAGAGAGAAAAAAAACATACATATCAAATATATTGGCCCTTTAATAATATTAGGGCAAATTCTGATATATGACCATCAGATTGACTAATTTGGTCATTTATACAATTCTATTGATTATTGATTGTAAAACACACTTAGTCTATGGCCAACATGGCCGTTAATCTAACCCTGTGATGAACAAGGAAATATGGTATAGTCTTCTTGGCATTTGATGATGAACAAGGGAGAGAAAAGGCCACAGATTGAACAATGGAATCAAATATCATCTTTTTCACTGACCTCATCTTTGCTCGAAACACAGATGCAATCTTTGGCTTCTTCTTCATTGTCTTCTCTAGCTCTGGGTTGACTGATGTCATTTCCTCACTTGGGTTACTCAGTTTTACCACTAATTTTCTCTCTGTTTTGTATTTGTGCTGTAGTGTTTATGTGTATTTTGAAGGAAGTTGAGGTTCCACCCCAAAATCAATTGGCAATAGCCCAACTCCTGATGCCATTTCCTCACTTGGGTTGCTCAGCTTTACCACTAATTTTTTCTATGCTTTGTATTTGTGCTGTAGTGTTTATGTGTATTTTGAAGGAAGTTGAGGTTCCACCCCAAAACCAATTGGCAATGGGGGGAGTAGCCCAACTCTTGATGCCATTTCCTCACTTGGGTTGCTCAGTTTTACCACTAATTTTCTCTCTGCTTTGTATTTGTGTTGTAGTGTTTATGTGTATTTTGAAGGAAGTTGAGGTTCCACCCCAAAACCAATTGGCAATTGGGGGAGTAGCCTAATTTCTTATAAACCCTTGTAAAGTTTTCTAACTTTCCAATATGTGACTTTTTACTTTCACATTCTCACATGGCCTTGCACGTGTGGCTAATTTCAAGCCTAACACGTTGACAACACATTATGGGTGACGTGAAGCACGTATGATCGTTGGGCTTTCACACATGAGCAACTCGCTCTGATACCATGAAGGAAGTTGAGGTTCAACCGAAAACCAATTGGCAACGGAGGGAGTAGCCCAATTTATAAACCCTTGCAAGATTTTCTAACTTTCCAATGAGAATTTTTACCTTCACATTCTCACAAAGTTGAGGCTTTAAGCTGTCTATTTAAGCACAAAAAGGGGTTGCAACTTGCAAGGAAAATTTGTGGGGCAGCTCACTTTTAAAGCATCATTTGGGGTCACTCAGTTGTGAAATCAAATTTGCTCGACAAGTCCATTCATATATTATCTATATGAACTTATGAAACTATGCTTGCCTTTATTCCCTATCAGTAAAAAGTTTTTAAGGGTCTGTTTTTAGAAAAAGATAGAGAAGAAAAAAAAAAGAGGGTCTTAAAGGGTTTTGAGTCTCTTCCATGGGATCTGCAACCACAATCATTGGAGGCTAGCCATAGAGATTCTGGCTTGGTTTAAAGTTAAAAATTCCATTTCCCATTTCCTCTAAACGGTGTAGGAACAAAGATTCTAGGGTCGGTGGCTCTGTTGTGTTGGGCCATTATTGGCAGTTTGGCTTTGGTTCCTTCAAACTGGGTGCCGAGAGAAATATTACTTGTGTTGTGAGAAAAACCGAAGTTCTTGGTCTGATCAAAACCCACCCAAAGTTGGGTTTATGGAATGGTAAAGGAGAAGTACTAGAGTAAAACAACTCTCTTCTCTCGTGTGCAGAATAATTTTTGGAGCTTACTTTTCTGGCCACAGTAACAGCATTCTCTAAGAGCATTCACAGTAGGGGGTGTATATGGGGGTATATGTTAAATATACACTCCTTGTCACCGGAATCGTCTCAAATGGGGAGATGTAAAGGGATGTAAATATACATCACCACCATGAGAATGTAAAATAAAATGTATATTTACATATATTTTTACATCCCTTGCAGGAGGAACCCACTCGAGAAAGAGAAGGAAAATGAAGAAAAGTCAGCATAAAAGGCTGGGACCCATGGTTACAGTAATTGCTGGAAAAAAAATTCACATGTTGTTTGCTCATTTGTGGTTTTCATGCTCCCCCAAATGTTTTTGGATGAAATCATATCTTCTCCGAATTCAAATATTTTTAGGTCTATTTGTTTGAAAAATTAAAATTAACCTAATACAAAAAAAATTAATTTTGTAAAGTAAACATAAAATACAAATTTAACACAAAAACGAATTAAGACAAACAAAACAATTATACATCTTAGATTTACATTTTTTCCCATTGGAGCAAAAAACATAGTTACACCCCCGGAGGTGTAAAGGGGATGTAAAAGTGGCTTTACACCCCCGACTTTACATCCCCCAATTGTGGATGCTCTAAAGAAAAGAAAAAAAGAAAGAAAGCACTTCACTGCTTCAAGTTTCAGCATGTACTGTAAAGCATGCATCAGATTTTGCTCCACTGGTTTTAGGCTTGAATCTTATTAGGTACGTGATTCAATCATAGAAGAGAAATATAGAATCTCTTATTAGGTACATGCAAAGAGTGCAAAGCACTTTATAAGAATGGCCTAAGCTTGGAACAATTTCCTCTCTCTTTTTGTTGTCTCGGTTTTTCTATTGGGTAAAATAATACTAAAATAAAGACATTAACTTGTAGACGAGTAGTCCTAGGTTCGAACTTCCATGATACATTGGTAATGTGTGTGAGAAATTCTCTTTCTCTTTGTAGTTTAGACTATCACTTATATTTTATTTTTTAAAGACTAGTTGGGTAAACAAATGGTTGAAGTTTGGGTCATTCATGCTAATTTTGGGCTCTGGTAAGAAGCAAGTTATATACTTTGTTGGGCATGAGACTTGACACTTTCTAGGCCTTGTGTGATAATAAGGGCAAAACAATCTTAGCAACCCTAGCTACTTGAATGAAAAATGACAATTTTCATGTGCTTGCCTTCCTTTGTTATCTATCAACGTATCTATGTCATTGCCATTTCCCTGAAATTACTGGTACATGAATTAGATTAGCCAGCACATTTTTGGGGTAACCAAGTTAATTGTCCCACCCTTTAACATGGACTAACCTTCATTGGATAAATCCCAAAAAGCTTGACCTCAGGTGCTTTTTATACTAAAGGTCTACACCTTCTAGTAACAACATGTTTAATTTGCATCTGAATCATGATGAATTTAATCTGAAAAGAAAACAAAAACAAAAACAAAACAATCTGAATCTTAAAAGGTAGACCATGCAAGATTTGCAGAGGATTTTTGTACCGTAAAACGATGAAAGCAAAGATTTGCAGAGAATTTATGTGATCTAAAAACAATGAAAGCAAAGATTTTCCATGTTCTTCTTCTTCTTTGGGGTTGACCTTGACTTCGAGCTATCCAAAAGATCTTGGTAGGGGCACACATCATCCTCTAACAAATTCATTGGATACTCATTTTGAATTCAATCTTCTTATCATTTTTATTTTTTATGTTAATTTTACCATTTCACACGTTTTACTAATGAGTTAGGATTAATTTAAGTCAAAATTCAATTAGGATTAATTTAGGTCAAATTTTGGATTTGCTCGAATATATAAGAATTGAGGAAGCTTCTAATGGGGACATGGTATAAATTTTGTAACTTTTTTGACCAGATTGAAGTTCTTTTGGTTTGTCTCAAAGAGATTTCAATTGTGAAATCGAAGCTCATTCTGTTTGCTCAAAAGAGCTTTGGTTTTGAAATCAAGGAATATTGCTATCATAACCAAAGCTTGTTCCAGCCAATTAAATGGGTTCTGATCGGTTTATCCATTTGATTCTAACCAAAATTCAGTTGGTTTTCTAAATTTTAAAAATTTATGGATGTCCACTTTATAAGGTCAGTATATGAGACCAACTAATAAAATTTCCAACTATTATGAATAAAGGTACTAATAAAAGCAATTAATATATAGAGAATGTCCAAATATATAAAACCTTAAGCTCTGCTTTATCTTCTTCATAACATCGGTAGTTATACTTTCGCTATCTGTTTCACACATGCATACAAAAATAAACCAGGCAGTAGAATAAACCATAAAAAATTATACTTTCACTGTCTGTTTCAGACATTCGTAACTTTTAACATATACAGGATTAATCTACCCTTAATTGTCAATACATGCATGAAGGATCTGGCAATTTTGTTTTATCAAATAATTGAAAACTTTAATTAAGACAAATACAGACAATTAGAAACCAGTAAACATATCCACTAAGACATGACCTTCTGCAACAATTGAGTCTTGGT